AATACATGCAGCAGAAACGCTGGCATATTTAAAAACAGAAAATCTAACAATCTGGTTAGAACCATTGCATGAAAGCACCCTATTTCCTGTCCAGCTGTCTGTGGTTGCAAAACATAAGGATTCACGAAAAAGGATGAAGAACTGTTGAGAATGCAACAGAGTGCCATGGAAAGAAGGACGAAAAAAATTTTCATCGGGGACAAGCAACTTAATGAAAAAACAAGAGAACATACCGGAAGACAGAACTCAAAATTATTTCAACAGTAAGAAAACGACGAATGGAAACATGACTAGGAACGAGAACCCGCTAGAAAAACATGAAGTGTGTGATAGGATGCAGTGAAAAGAAAACAGAAATGAAGATGTCAAGTTTGAATATACGAAAGTTACAAACTATAAACAAATCAATAAAGGCTAGCATTCGGCAATATATAACTAAAGAAAATGAGTAAACAACCAGAGAATGAAGAAATGAGGCAAAGAAATGCACAGACATCGACATATTCTGGTTCTTACAGTAGAAGACGAGACTGTAGTCAGGGAGAACCGGAGAGAGACAAGCGATTCAATAGAAAATTGGTGATTACCGTAGAGAAAGGTATAGAGTTGAAAACAATTACATGACTAGAGAAAATATCAACCCTGAGAAACATGTAAAGTTCAATAAAATAAGGTGCTGGATGGAAAAACTAAATTGCGTACAACAGCACTGGTATCGATGCAGAATGAAAATAAGTGAGAAAACGACATGACAGATCATCTCGTTTATTTCCGCACACAGATGAGCTCAATATGTCAGAATTATAAATACGCTGTTAGCTCTGTTAGACAAGGTGATAAAGCATTCCCAATTCACTCAAGCCCGGTAGCTTCTCCTGAGGCAGTTCAAATACAACATACGTTAGTGAGGAAGGCAGAATGTAACATTGAGGAATAACGTAGAGGCGGATCTTCTTCCGATGAGGAATTTTCATAATGTATGACACTAGCTTTTGCTTTATAAAAAGGGGTGAAAAGCTGAAACCACTCATAAAGCACCACAAACGAGTAACGTCCAGCTTAGTTACACTCACCAAGCTGATTACCTCAGACTAGACGCATTAATTGTCATTTGATTATCGTTGTAATTTCCTTCATTGATTTGTTCCTGTCCTTTTGGTCACACTGCATGAAGAACAGCATGAAGAATTGTTCAATTGCAGTACTCTTCCAGAAGTCTTGCCTGTCCAAGAAGGATCGCTGTCTGCAGGTCATCCTCCTTGATGGCTTTATCAGTCGATTTAGGAGATTGCTAATGGCATGTTTTCACCGCTCTGCGTTCCGCCAGTGTTTAGTACAGGAATGGCTTCTGTTATTGCACTTTATAACATTTTCTTATTTTTTCTATCACCGTAGCAAAAAAATTACAGTCAGCCAGACATGCCATGTCACTGATCTGTGCTTGCTGTGTACCGGCTTCTGCCTTTTCTCATTACATGCATGGGAGTTCGAAATGCATTGGAGGCAGGCACCATTTTTACATTAAGGAAAGATGTCTGCAACAACCGTATATGTTGTTAAACTCAAACCAGTTACTTCTTCATGCCCTGTGATTGATGGAATCCACCTCAGGTGTGCCTCAGCTACTGATACGCGAAAATGATTTTGTATTTCTTGTGAAACAACCAGACCCCGGGCTAAGAGGAATGAATCGTTCCAACAGAAAGCGCAATTCAGAATATTCGGCTACATGCAACATCGTCCTGCGCCATTTGATCGATATTGTATTCACGAGTAGTAAGGTAAAGGGGCTTCTGCCTCTGATAATGTAAACAGACTGAAGTGGACATTCAGAAGCTCAAATATCTGACTAACCGAACATTTTCGCAAAAGGAGGAAAAAATTGAACGGAATAGCAGGGGAAACAAACTGAATATTTCTATTGCGTTATATACAATGACAGCAATATCCAATCATAGTTAAACAGGAGGGACGGCCTGGAACACACGGCTTTCGGTAAACTTATATAATGTATTGAATTCGAACAGAATAACCGTTTTCAAAAAGAATTTGTTTTACATTGTCTCTTTTGGACAGTGTAGCTGTGCGGCACAAAGACGGCTGTTTTAATGAAGGAGCAAGAACGACTGTGCACTGTTGACTGGATGCAGCATCATCGGTTTCGACACAATGATTTTTCAGTGGCAGGACAACGTAAGGAGTGACAGTTCTCTTCTGAACGCAGGTGACCTCAGTGGATGGGAAGATACGCGAGAGAATTGTGGCAGTGTTTGGTAATTCGTTCACATGACAAACGAGTGACCAATGGACTTCCACAGTAATGGATTGGTTAGCCAAGAGGTTGCAAGCGCCAAACTGAAAAACTCCGATTCGGATCCAACGGGGTAAACGAGAGACACGGAAGTTTGTGACAAAACTCGCAGAAGTCAGACGAAGGGGGACATCTAGGCAACAGTGAACCCCGTAAATCAGCAAGAAAGGTGAGTTTTTGTTGCAACAAAAATAACGTCATAACATGCTAGAATTTACGACAAGCATTTTTTTTACATTACGTATGTCGTGCCACTATGACAGATGTACATTAAACAATTAAGCAACATTGCAAGAAGTTGAGAAGCAAGCGAAACAAAGATCAGCTGATGCGAAAAATAAGATCAGTAAGGAAACTATTCCGTCTTCATTACACAGAAACAAACTGAAGGAGGACTGAATGACCAAGAGGAGTTAGAAGAGGCAGAGGCAGAAATGGAAGGAATTGGGAGATCGAGTAGAAGATTAAAAAGAGAAAAGAGGTGGCGAAGGAGAGAGAGAAAGAAAAGGCGGGTGGAAGAACGAAATTGAACAAGAGAGAAGAAGAAGAAGAAAAGAAAGAGAATGCGAAAAGAACAATAAGGAACAGAAGTAGAAGAAAGCAGAATGCGAAGGTAAAAGAAGCAACGTATGCTAAGGCAAAAAAGAAAGAGTAGGAAAAAGAACGGTGACTGACTTTTTGATTCCTTCATTTAAATAGAAGCTTTAGAAAATTTGTAAAAAAATAAAGGTCCCCTCTTTTCTGAATTAGTGAAAACAATTGGTGATGCAGCCTTTACTGAACTGATGTTGAAAAAGCACTTATAACGTAACACGTATAACTTCTGGATCAAAGCAAAGCTACAGTTAAGAAAGCTTTCGCAATGCTTCACAAATGAACAGTCCATGTCCATGCTTCTGACAAATCGATACGGCTCTGAATTCGTTAATTCAATTTCACAGTTCGCGGTTCCACTGGTATTTAGCACAGCAGCTTCCTGAAGACTCTCTAACCTCCTTGATCATCCGTCTTTGATGTGGCTCTACAAAAAAAAAGTTATCCTTGAACCTCGCGCTTGTGGCATCCTATTCATGTTATGGCCTCTTCGTCAGCAGAAGTGCCTCGAAGCGAGGGCATCTCGAACTGTCCTGTTTCGAGGCACAATCAGCCATTTCATACCATCAACTCTTCCAAGGCACCCCACTTATACCGCTGCTGTCGACGAACACAGCCTTTCTAAATTCGCGCAAATTAGGTAGCAGCAGATGAGGATCTGTGCCAATGCAACCTGCCACAGATAATTCCCTTGTCATATTCAGCAAACAAAGTAAATTTGTATTTTTTTGCATGACAGTGACTTGATGGTTCGCAACTTCCATGGAATGGAAGTCTAATGAAGCACATGAAACTCGATGACAGTCATGGATATGGAAAGTTTCGTGGAAGAACCGGAAAACAACAAACGTTTGTGTGATTAGATTGCTAACACTGCATCTTTTTACAACAAAGACAAGCGATCATTCCTCTTGAGGATCAGATTTGACAGAACACCGCACCGTTACTTGCTTCCAGCTGTCTATGCTGGAAGGGAGGTCATTTAAGCAAGGTACGGCTCCGGGTGTTGAAGCAGCCAAAGTAATAGGTCTTATGAAGGCGCAAGGTTCAGTCAAATAACGGATCGTGATGTGAACCTTCTGGACAAATCCTGTATGAGGCAGAATAATAACTGATGTATGTAGTACTATAAAGATTTCCTGCTATCACGTGACCAGAGAGAATGCTCAAAAGTGAGTAAAGCGATTATATCAAAAAGTGTAGTGATCAGTCTACTAAGCTTTCATCGCCATGGAGATGGCACAGGAATGGTAGAAATGGAATGAATGAACTTTTGAATTGCGATATGCACTAACGAAGAGATTAAGCTCTCTGAACATAGGGCGCGATGATTGCTGTAGTTGTCACTTTCAAAAATCAATCAATCAAAAGTATTTGCTTGATGAGTAACAGTGACTATTATCAGCAAAAAATGGTCTCGTAACAATGTACGAACAGAAACTGTCCAAACGTACAGAAGATAACGAAAAAGATAAACACCAGAAACAAATACATATGAGTTCTCCATAACAAAAAATAGTTAGTCCAATAGTTCGATAAAAAATTTATAATGTTCATACGGTAACATATAAGGAGACAGCTCATTAAACATCACTCGTGATGATTGCAATGTGATTCTAGTTGACAAAAATAATACAACATGCGTCTAGCACTGCGGACGCCTAAATATCGGACCGTAAATGCCCCCAGGCAACGAGGAACAAAGAGAGAGTGTAATACGCCTTGAAATTTAGTTATGGGAAATCATGAGTTAATTAATTAACAATTTATAATTAATTTTTTCTTCTCTTCTGGCTGGTTAAAAAATATTAAGTAACAGCAACCCTGACCCTACGCATAGCTAAGCCCGATAGAAACAGTTTATAATTGATACCCAATGCCTGGAATTCTAGGAGATTCGTGGAATTAAACGTGTCTCAAAAAGCGTGATCAAAGTAAAGGTAGAAGACGTGATTCAACAGAAAACGGTGAAGCAATATTATACATCAGAAAAATGACTGGCCTGAGCACTGTTAGTGCGATGAAGATGACGCAACACCGTAAAATGGAGTGCGGCAGTAAATCGTCGCCTCGCTACCTCTGCATGAAGAACGTTTCATTTGAGGATGACTGATTGTATATGAGAAAGAGTGATGACAGTACAACAAAATTGATCCTAGCACAAGGTCAGAGGGAAGGTCCAAGAGGTGCTGAGAGGACAATATCTGTAAACAGACCGATCTGAACGATACAGAGCTACAATGCAAGGCACTCGTAAGATTCCATAGCATCTTTGAAACGACTAGTAACACTATCCAACACAACTCTTTTGATTTTTTGTCCAACTTGGCCTCGTTGGATAAACGGACTTACCACTAACGCCAGTCAGTGATCTTCAAACCTCCTCTGTTCTCTACCTCAACTGCTGGTTAAGCGGTTTGACCATCGGTCGCCATATCGTGTTCTCAGATGATTAACGGAATTTTTGCGGTCCATTGGAACCTAGTTCTTAATTCTTGACGCCTGGTTGTTTCTCAGGCGAGTCACATGACTGTCCCTTCTTCTCTTGGCGTCGTATAAGGCAGAAACCACATCTGTTCATCCGGTCTGTTCTCGAATCGATGCGCTCAGAAGGTGATCTTATAGGGAGACTTTGCTGCATGACTCTTCGTGTGAATAGTCAGTATGCTCCCTTTGGTTTAAGAAGCAGGAAATTATTTTTAGGTCAGATGGTAGGACGGTTGAATCCAACAGCATATTCTTCGCCAGTATGGGCAAACTCAGTAAAGATGATCGAATATTGTGAAAGCCATCTTGATTCTTTTGCTGATTTGCCCATTTAACGAGTTCATGCGGCAATCCACCTGACTGCAGAGATACATATCAGGTGTTCTTGGCTACAGTGTTCTCAGGGCGATGCTCGTTTTACGTGCATTTCGGCTGGAGAGACTGACATCCAATTTGATGGCAAGAGATTCTCCTCGCAACTCTCTGGTCATCTGCTGGAGCGCTGCCATATCCTGAACGAAAACGGCCCAGTCATCCACGAATAATAAAACCGTTGATTTCTCTCCGCCAATGTCGATACCAATGTAGATGGTGGAAAAGTGATTTCAGAGAGAACACTGATGAAATGGCGTACTGCTGTGTATGCTCAGTAAGCACTGATGTGACGTGATGCATTAAATAACTTGATAATTCGTGCATTGGATGTTCAGCTCTTCAATTAGCCTTACATAAACGGGGTATAGTCCATGTTTACGTGTTTATTAAAGCGTTTTAATAAACAAAGCTATATAAAGCAAACTTTAGCCTTAAATTATTGTATAACCACTGACCCAAACTCTTTAACCTTGCGCCATTTCAAACCAGTTATGAAAAAAATAGAGCTAACTAATGGATTGCGCCTTCGCTTGAAAAAGGCGATCGATACTGGCTGGATATATGACAGCGCAGCTGCGTCTAAAAATCGATGCGTATTCGATGTGTACGAGGTAAAGATGATGAGATTCTTGAACTGACCAAACAAATATCACACATACGTACATGTTGCTGTTTTTGAGCTACGATCGTCGTCTAGGGCCTACGGAACCTAAACAGCAGAGTATTCCAGAATTATGATGTTTAACAGTCTAATAGACTCAGGTACATATTAGGAATTGTTCACTGTTGTGGAAAACGTCGTATTCTTCTTCACACATAAGGAGATGTTACTAAGTAACCACTGATATCAAGTAAATGGTACAGAAACGGAAAGACGGTTCGAAGTAACTGTTCATATTATTGGCAATCCACTATTTAACCTGTGTTAGCCGTGTGCATGGGCAATCGACAATGAGAACGGGCAAAAACCTGGAAGAACGGCTACTCACTCCCACTGTTAACGTTAGTCTTAGTCTCGACAAAACAGACATCTACTCCAGAATCCGCCATTACTCAATCTAGTTTCGATTTGCCGCCAATCATGTGGTGTTTCACTAACCTCATTAGAAGAGGACACGACTACAGGCATCATCTGCACCGATGGAAGTCCTGCTGATGTCGGTGTGCAGCGGACAGTGAAACTGTTGACGGTCTTATCACCTGCTCATCAGCTAAGCGGCGTACTGTAAAAGTACACCAAGTGACTTTCAAGCTTAGTTTGAACACTTTCAAGACGCCCTGGCCTCCAAGCGTCACAAGAAAAGAACAAGCGGAAATTCATGAGGACCAACGCTTCTCTGAAAAGAGCACATGAGTGACCTGCCAATGCGTTACCTCATGCGTATTCGAAATTTGTCGTTCAAGATTCGATTGGATTGGATTCACAGGATGAAAAATTCCGCTGCAGCACACCACCGACGTCCACTTGCTGCCGCCGTCATCGTCGTCTTCGAAAGAAACCGGTGCTGTTGGCTGGCCGCATGAATCAGTCACTGTATCTAAGGTGGCGCGAATGCTCTGACTAACTTTATTTACAGAATTCTCCTCCGGTGTTCGGCTGGGCTGGGCTGGGCTCGACTCGACTCGGCTCGGCTCGGCTCGGCTCGGCTCGGAGCCACCCGGTGGCTGTGTGCGTCGAAATCTACCTACTGACGGCAGCAATCGACCGACGTCGCTGTCCGGTCCCTATGTTGACACAACGACGAACGTCGGTCGTCCTTAGAGCACGCCGCGCTCTTTCGGAGATTCGCCGCCGACCCGTGAC